TCCGAAAGGTTGAAAATTGATATACTATTTAGGGATTGATATTGAAAGGAAACATTCCCCTTTTGTCTTGATCATTTTAATTGGTATGGTGTAAAAGTGTCATCATTGCTTATCTTTCAAACAAAGATTATCATCTGATAGTCTGGCTAAATGCTTTTAAAAGGTTTTCAGTGGATTTAACAAGAAAGAAAGAAAGCGGTAGGTGAAAGAAGAGGACTTGGAAGGAAGTCTGGTGAGTCTCGGATAAAGGATAAAGACGCGCCTGTTCTTCCTTATCCTGTAACATATATCCCGACCAGAACTTATAATCACGAATAAATCAGTCTGTATGTGTATGTATGTATGTGTATGTGTTATATGTATGAGTATGTGTATGTGTATGTGTATGTATGTGTGTATGTATAGGTTTGCATGGGGAAGAAGTATGGATCAGTAGTGTACGTCAAGAGTTGAAACCTCCTGACGCCATCAGTCAACAGATCATTTCCTCCCTATTCTGTCCATTACAAAATGCCCATTCATTTAAGCAATCATATTACATATCGTCTGTTCATTACCGTTTTATTTCTATTTTCTTCTTTTCTTTTTTCTTTTTTTTTCGTTTTTCTCTCTCTCTTTCTCTCTCTTTTATACTTTCATTCATTCTTTTTTCTTTTTTTTTTGAATTTATTTATTTTTCAATCTTTAAACTATTGAAATTTAATTGAAAATAGCAATTTAAAAAAGAAAAAGTGAAGAATTATCTCAATTCTAATACTTTTCTTTCTCTTTCATACAACAATTATCAGAAAAGGAAAGAAAATTAGAAGAGAAAGAAAAGAATTCTTTTTCTTTTTTCTTTTTTTTTTTTTTTTTCTTGGAATTTCTTTAATGAATGATTGGAATTTGTTTTCACAAATTTCTATATTTCATTTTATATTGTGCATGTTAACAAATGCTGAAGAAATGCAAAACAAAAGGAAGGAAAATTAGAAAGGAATCATTTAATTAATAAAAAATTAATTTATTAACTCGTTTTTCCAATTTTTTAAATTTTGCCACAGTTTTTTTTAACAAAGTTTATAATTCAAATATAATTCATTAAAATTTCAAAAATACTTGCTATTTTTGAGCAATATTTTATTTAAATAAAATAATCAATTTGAAATGAAAAAACAAAAATGATAAAAAATAAAAATGTATGCATATGCAAAAAAAGAAAAAAAATTATTATTAGCAAATAATAATATTTATTATTGTAAAATTTGTTATCATATTTATTTTGACATTTATAATAAGCTTAATATTTGAAAGTGATAAAATAAATGTTGCATTCAAATAATTGTTAACAACTTTTCATAAATATAATCGAACTTTTTCATGTACAATTAAATCGTAAATCAATGTTAGGAATTATGTAAGAATTAGTAATAATTAATTAATTAATTAAAAATATAAGAGGTAAAAAAAAATTTTTTTCAATTTTTTCTTAATGATAATAAAAATAAACAAATTTACAAATTATCAAAATAATTGTCTCAAGAAGTAAACTTATATATGCATGTCAAAAAAAAAAAAAAAAAGAAGTAGAAGAAAGAGAGGAAACTTGATCTTGTTTGATTTGAGGAACAAACAGGAATAGAATCGAAATGGTACCGCTAGTGCTTGAGACATTGATGAGTACAATTGAGGTTTGTTTGAGTAACCCCAACTCAAGCTCATGCTTCCTTCTTTCTATCAATTTTCATTGACCTACTCTTTTACTTCTTATCAATAATCAAAATTGAAATAACTTTTTAAATATACAAAAAAAAGCAAAAAAATTTAATTTAATACTAAAATTGAATGAAATGTAAAAAAAAATACCAACAATA